GTGGATTTTCCGGGAAAGCAATCCCGGCGTGAGTAGGCTGCTGTCTTATCGACAGTGGAGGCTGAACACGTTAAATTTCTCTGTGTCATTTACGTTTTCTGTTATCAATCTATAACCTCAACAAAGAGTGTCAAGAAGAAGAGATTCGGAGAGTGCTCGATCTTATTCAAAGAAGAGGATCGGATTCACAACAATTGGTATCAGAGCCAGGTTCGGGAATCTGAGATCTGAGTTCTCGAATCATGGCATCGAAGAAAATCGAGGTTGAAAAGTTCGACGGTTCTGGGGATTATGTGCTGTGGAAGGAGAAATTGATGGCTCATCTTGAGATCCTGGGATTGGTGGAAGCGATCAATACTGAAACAGTCATACCGGTAGAGAAGAAGGAAGGTCTTGAATCTGAGATAGATGAAGTTGCGACGGCTGCGGCTGAAAAGCAGCTTCTTGAGAAACAAAGAAGAGCAAGAAGCACGGTGATTCTCTCGGTATCTGATCATGTCCTTCGCAAGATAATCAAAGAGAAGACTGCGAATGGTATGTTTCAGGTATTGGATAGTCTTTACTTGTCAAAGACTCTATCAAGTAGGATTTATCTTAAGCAGAAACTCTACGGTTATGCTATGAAAGAGAGTCAGACTATTGAGAGGAATGTAGATGAGTTCTTAAAGATTATTGCAGATCTTGAGAATGTAGATGTGTTGATCTCTGATGAAGATCAAGCAGTGATGTTGCTTATGGCTCTTCCACGTCAGTTTGATGGATTGAAAGATACTTTGAGATATAGTAAATCGTCCCTGAGTTTGACAGATGTAATCACTGCGATTAAGTCAAAGGAACTTGAAGCTGAATTTCAGGTTAAGTCACCAAAGAAGGGTTCTGAGGCATTGTTTGTGAAAGGCAAGGGAAGCTCTAGGTGGTCAAAGCAGGAAGGGAAATCTCAAGGGAATGACGCAAAGAATAAGGTGAATAAAGGGAAGGAAAAATCCAAGAAGGTGTGTTGGTCGTGTGGGGAACAAGGCCACTTCAAGATGCAGTGTCCTAAGAGAGGTAGTGATCATAATCGAGGTGGTAATCAGCATGGTGAGACGGCTCTGGTAAACCGTTGTGGTGGAGTTAGAGTCGATATGTTATATGTTGGGGAAGCAATGAATATGACTGATGCAGATTTGGAGACTCGATGGGTTATTGACTCAGGTTGTTCTTTCCATATGACTTGGAGAAGGGAGAGCTTCATGAGTCTTGATGAGACAGTGACAGGGTCTGTTAGGATGGCGAATGATACGGTATCACAGGTCATGGGACAGGGCTCAGTCAAGCTTGAGAATCAAGATGGATCAGTGGTGGTTCTTACAAAGGTCAGGTATATCCCTGATATGAAGAGAAACCTTGTTTCTTTGGGAACTTTGGAGACTTTGGGTTGTAAATACAGTTCAGAAAATGGTGTTCTTCAGATTTCGAGGGATGGGAGAGTACTATTGGTGGGAAAACGACATGAGACATTGTATTTCTTGGAGGAAAAGGAAGTCTCGAGGGATGCGTGTACTAATGTTGTAAACCAAGATGATACACATCTCTGGCATAGTAGGTTGGGTCATATGAGTCAGAGAGGGTTGAGTGTTCTGGTGAAGAAAGGTTCATTGGATACAAAGAAAGTGTCATCTCTAACTTTCTGCGAGGACTGTGTCTACGGTAAAACACATAGGCTGAAGTTTCCAACTGGAAAGCACATTTCTGCAGATAACTTGGATTACATACACACGGATTTATGGGGATCTTCGTATGTGCCAATGTCGCATGGTAAATGTCAGTATTTCCTGAGTATCATTGATGATCACAGCCGGAAAGTTTGGATTGATTTTCTAAAAGGAAAAGATGAAGCTTTTGAGAAGTTTAATGAATGGAGAATCATGGTTGAAAACCAAACAGGAAAGAAGATTAAGAAGCTGAGGTCTGACAATGGGTTAGAGTTCTGTAATTTCCGGTTTGATGAAATGTGTAAGCAGAATGGCATTGTGAGGCATAAGACTGTTGCTTATACTCCACAGCAAAATGGTGTTGCAGAACGTATGAATCGGTCTATAATGGATAAGGTTCGAAGTATGTTGAGTGAATCAGGCTTACCAAAAGTATTTTGGGCTGAAGCTGCTGCTACTGCTGTTTATCTGATAAACAAGTCTCCTTCCACAGCTATTAGTGATAAAATTCCTGATGAGGTATGGTATGATCGTGATAGTGTTGATTACTCTTACCTTAGGCGTTTTGGTTGCATTGCATATATTCATTCTGATGAAGGGAAGCTGAATCCTAGAGCAAAGAAGGGTGTGTTTCTAGGATATCCTGCAGGCATTAAAGGATATAGGATTTGGGTTCTTGATGAGAAGAAGTGTGTGATCAGTAGGAACGTGGTGTGTAGGGAAGATATTCTGTATAAGAATAGGAGTATGAAGAGTGATGAGGAGTTGGAGTCTGATGATATTAGACAAGTGGTGGAGCTTGAAGTTGATTCTGAGGACTCGGAAGAGTTGCATACTGCAGGAGGAGATGGTAAAGAATCCTCTGATACAGAAAGTGAAACTGAAGTTGTGTCAGAAGGAGATGAGCCTGAAGAATCTCCAGTTTTGCAAGATTATCAGTTAGCTCGTGATCGAGTTAGGAGAGAGATACGTGTTCCTATAAGATTCACTGAGAATAATTGTGTTGTGAGTTGTTTGTTAACAACCAATGAAGGTGAATCATCAGAGCCGTATGATTATGCAGATGCTCTGAAGAATAAAGACTGGGAGAAATGGAATGCTTCTATGGGAGATGAGATGATGTCTTTAGAGAAGAATGGAACTTGGGAAGTTGTCCAAAAGCCGAAGAATGTGAAAGTAATTGGGAGCAAGTGGGTTTATACTAAGAAAGAAGGTATTCCTGGAGTTGAACTTCCTAGGTTTAAGTCTAGACTGGTGGCAAAAGGTTATTCCCAAAGAGAAGGCATAGATTATAATGAGATCTTTGCGCCTGTTGTGAAGCATGTTTCTATCAGAATCTTGTTGCAGATTGTTGCTGCAAAGGATTTAGAGCTGGAGCAGTTGGATGTGAAAACTGCATTCTTACATGGAGAATTAGATGAGATCATCTATATGAAACAGCCTGAAGGGTATGAAGTAAAAGGCAAGGAGGATTGGGTCTGTTTACTGAAGAAGTCTTTGTATGGTTTGAAGCAGAGTCCAAGGCAGTGGAACCAGAAGTTTAATCAGTTTATGATAAGCAGAGGTTTTCTGAGAGGTATGGTGGATAGTTGTGTGTATGTTAAGAAGAGCAGTGATGGATCGTACTTGTATTTGCTGTTGTATGTTGATGACATGCTGGTGGCTTCTAAGAGTAGAGTTGAAATTGAAAATCTGAAGAAAGACTTGGGTACTGCATTTGAGATGAAGGATCTGGGTCCAGCTAAGAAGATACTTGGTATGGAGATAAAGAGAGACCGGAAGAATTTGAAGCTGGAGCTGTCTCAGAGAGGTTATATAGAAAAGGTTTTAAGGCTATTTCAGATGGAGAAGTCTAAACCAGTTAAAACTCCAATTGGGATTCATTTCAAGTTGAAATCTGCTACTGATAAAGAACTAACAGAGCAGTTTAGTGAAATGAGGAAAGTTCCTTATGCAAATGCAGTAGGTAGTGTCATGTATATGATGATTGGGACGAGACCTGACATTGCTTATTCTGTTGGTATGGTGAGTCGTTTTATGGGAAACCCTATTAGAGAGCACTGGATTGCAGTAAAGTGGTTACTGAAATATCTGAGAGGATCTTCTGAGAAGAGGTTGATTTTTGGAGGTAATAGTGAGCTCAAGTTGGTTGGTTATAGTGATTCCGATTACTCTGCAGACTTGGATAGGAGCAGGTCAGTGACAGGTTTCGTTTTCAGTTTTGGTGGGACTGCTGTGAGTTGGAAGTCAGGTCTTCAGAAAGTGGTAGCATTGTCAACTACAGAAGCCGAATATATTGCGTTGTGTGAGTCTGCAAAAGAAGCTATTTGGTTGAGGAACTTGATCAGAGAGTTTGGGTATACACAGGAACAGGTGGAGATCTTCTGTGATTCACAGAGTGCTATTGCTTTGTCAAAGAATAGTGTTCATCACGAGAGGACCAAGCATGTGAAGAACAAGTACCACTTCATACGGGAGAAGATAGAGGAAGGTATTATCAGAGTTACAAAGATAGGTACTCTGCATAATCCTGCTGATATCTTTACTAAGGTTGTTCCAGTGAATAAGATGGTAGAAGTTTTGGAGAAGCTTCGGCTTAGCTTTGAGTAATGAGCTAAGGTTCCGGGATTGCAGGAGAAGCTTGACTTGGAAGGAAGGTTATGGTTTATACTCTAACGGCTTTATAGAAAATTGGTGGAGAATTGTTGAATTGGGCTATAAAGGTATTGGGCTTGCGAATGTTGCTGAATAAACCCATTAGAGAAGCGACGTCGGTTTGAAGTAACGTCTAACTTCTAGCCGTTGGAGTGTGTCAGTTTAGTGAGACGTTTCTTGTAACTAACTCTGTAACAATATAAACAGAGTTAGAGAGAGAGGTAGCTAAGCAGATTAGATAGATTGAATCAGGTTTTGGATCTTGGTTCTTGGAGATCGGAGATTCGATCGGAGTGTTGTAACTTTCTCACCGGTGTTAGTGGATTTTCCGGGAAAGCAATCCCGGCGTGAGTAGGCTGCTGTCTTATCGACAGTGGAGGCTGAACACGTTAAATTTCTCTGTGTCATTTNTTAGTGGATTTTCCGGGAAAGCAATCCCGGCGTGAGTAGGCTGCTGTCTTATCGACAGTGGAGGCTGAACACGTTAAATTTCTCTGTGTCATTTACGTTTTCTGTTATCAATCTATAACCTCAACAAAGAGTGTCAAGAAGAAGAGATTCGGAGAGTGCTCGATCTTATTCAAAGAAGAGGATCGGATTCACAACAATTTAAATAGATGGACTTAGAAAGATAGATCCTCAGAAAAGAAAATGGCCTCTTCCTCTTTGACGACTCCGGTGATGAAAGAGGGAGAGTGTAGAAACTGGGCGGAGCTTCCGTCTGAATTAATGTCAGACATCCTGCGCAGGCTAGACTCTACTGACATATTGGAAAACGCTCAGAAAGTGTGTACGTCATGGTATCGCGTCTGTAAAGAACCTGCCATGTGGCGCAAGATAGACATGCGTAACCTAGGAAAGTTGGGTTTCAAGGTCCAGATCATGTGCCGTCACGCAATTGATCGTAGCCAGGGAGGCTTGCTTGAGATTGACATTCCGTATTTTGCTACTCGTTCTCTCCTCAACTACATCGTCGATAGGTTAACTCTCTCTCTCTCTCGGCATCAGTTTTTGAACTATAAGAAGCTTTTTTAAAATATAACACCCTATTACTTGCAGGTCAAGTAGCCTGAGAAGCCTTAGAATTTCAAATTGCTATCCAATAACAACCGATGGACTTACGAAAGCAATTGTGAATCTTCCATCGCTCGAAGAACTCGATGTCTCATACTATGAATTGTCAGGAAAATGTCTGAAAGTTGTAGGCCAGTCTCTTCCTAATCTGAAGACTCTGAAGTTAAACTGCCACGAACTCAGTTGTCCTCGGCACGTGAGTGATGATGATGCTCTAGCTATAGCTGAAACGATGCCTGGACTTCGCTTCCTCCAGCTTCATGGAAACTTATTATCAGACATTGGTTTAAACGCCATTCTTGATAATTGTCCTAACCTGGAACATCTTGATTTACGTCGGTGTCTCAACGTTAACATTGTCGGAGATCTGGAGAAACGATGTTTGGAGAGGATCAAAGTTTTGAGACGACCTCGTGACTCGACTGATGATTTCCCATATTATGCATATGCGTAATCATCTGATGAATATGATGATTATGGCCCTGAAGTCTTTGATTATGATTTTTGACGATGGCCCCTACTTAGATGATAGATTTAGTTACATGCGTTTCTAGATTCGTTTTATGTTTTCATTATTTCTCAAGTTCTTTTGTTTCATCTACGTTTTGGGTATAAGTTTGTGAGTTTATTCTGCAAGATTAATGAAAACAAGCCTTTTGTCAGTCAGAAGCTCTGTGTCTGAGAATTAAATACTTATGAAGCAAAAGGACTGCAAAGAAAACTTTCTCAGACAAAACTAACTTGTCCAAGAAATGAACACTAGTGGTGACTAGTGACTATGCTTAAGTTCCTTAGGAAAGTTTTGAGATACGGAATGTTAATCTTCCCAACACTCTCTTCTGGGTAGAGTAGAAGCAACTTCACAATCCTAACTCTCTGATGCTTATTACCAGAAACCTCTAACCCATCAAGCTGGATACTAGGTTACTTGGTTACTTGATTCCCAAGCAATTTTATAGTGTTCAGTTCAACAGATAAAGAGACTGAAGCAAGATTTAAAAAACCTCCAAGGATTGATGATGAGAGAGGTAAATCTAAAACCAGGGTAAGAGATGATTTAAGCTTCAAGTCACTTAACTTTTGAGATGCTACAATCCAACGAGGGAAGTTAAAGTAGTCTTTGGTAGAGACGTCAACAAAATCAATAGATAATTTGATTATTTATACATAAAACAGAATCATCAAAGAGCCACAACATGTTCTCTTTGATCACAACAACTTCTTGACTAGAGTTAAAACACACAAAGATTGGCTTTTAAAGACTACAAATGGCGATGGTGCTGGCACTCCAGAGGAGTAACAGGAAACCTCGCAGCATCAAAACAATAATCATAAATCATATGATTAGCTCTAACCCAAATAAGCTGATGATTCTGATGAAAACTCAACTCAGACACAGTTGGCTCATCCCACCAGAATCTCTGGTCTTCTCCACTACACTTGCTTAGGTCAGCTGTTGTCGGAACCTCACAGGCATCAATCTTGAAGTCTTTGTAAGAAGCAATGAAAGGAGCGTGGCTCCAATCTGTTTTCACAAGACCTCCTTGTGTTGCCCAATCATCAGCGTTCCAAATCGAACTGTACACTCCCATTGCTTGATCTTTAGCAAATGGGATGCCTTTGTCTTCAAGATTCTTGTGGACACGAATAGGTGTCTCATCTACCATAAATCTGTAATTAACCAATAAAAGGATCATTAGAAAAAAGGGTCACATAGTCTCATTATTGAGCATGAAGAAAGAGATGAAACTTACACAACACTGCGTTTACTCCAGAGGATAGAGTAAGTGTGGAACTCAGTGGTGGGATCGAACCAAAGGTTGAGTCTCTGCTCTCTGTTTCCAACTCCGTTCACATATACGTTTGTCTGAACTATATAAGGCTCACCGGTCGTGTTACCTAAGAACTCGAAGTCAAACTCGTTGTGGTTCGAACCTTCTGAAGACATCTGTAAGAAACAGAGAAACAGGGGTGAGTTTTCAAGATTTGAGTACAAGAAACAGAACAAGCGAGGTGTTTAGTTACGTACGTAGAAAGCAGTGACTGTTCCTGCAGAGTCACCCTCGACGAGCTTAATCTGGATAGAGACTTTACCGAACAAGTACTTGCTTCTTGACTCAAACCCAGCTCCTGAAACAATCAATCAAACATCAGCATTCAAAAACAGAGCATGCAAAACAGAGAGATATGGGTTTGGTAATAGATTATGTACCAGAGGAATTGTCAAGCTTGAGTTTTGTGACTTCTCCATCGTTGATACAATGATCCATAGCCCAGCTAGAGCGGTAAAGTTCCTCGAACTTAGCTCCAGGAGCAGCATAACCACAAGAAACCACACACACCATTATCACCATACACATGAACCAACCCATACCCACCATTCTGTTTTGTTTTGTTTTTTGTTTTTAACTCTACAGTCTCACACACTTAACTTGGTGGAGGAGACAAGTGAGAGAGGAGTGGGTTTATAAAGGCAAAGGGTGAGAGTGTGAGTGAGCTGGCATACAATGGAGAGAGGTGCCACGTTGGATTCGACGTGTGACTCATGACATTTACAAATGGACAAAGAAACCCATCTTTATAAAGATGAAGAAAAAATAAAATTCACTCAAATCAATACAGACAAGAGATAAAAGAGAGAAGGAGAGAGTTGGGAAATGTAGCCGTTGCTGTGAGGGCATCACTCGGTGGGGTTCCACTTTGTACTACACAGAGGACAAGGATTTATGCTTCTCTGTCTAAAAAAACCTTCTCTCTCAGTAGAAAAACAGAGACTTTATTGCTTTTTTTAGAGAGAGATAAGTGAAAAACAGAGACTTTATTGCTTTTGTTAGAGAGAGATGGAATGATTCTTAGTGTAATAATGTTGAAGATAAAGATGAAAGGACCATTTTACAGCTCACTGGATTGGATCCAGCTGTACATTTGGCTCTTTTTGGGAGGAGTCAGAAGCCTAAAAGAAAGATATTGATTGGGTTTCGAACAGTGTCTCTCTCTCTCCTTACTTTATGGGGGAATTCAATTTTTTTGTGTGTTGCAGACATGGATTAGATGTGGCAGATGTGACGTCGTTTTTGATGAATTTGAAAAAAATATCTTGGGTTTGCTTTGGTAATTTAAAAACAGTGTCAAGTTGTGTGTTATAGCAATACAACATTTATGTATGTGTGTACATCCGGGGACGAAGTTGTTGTCCTTTTTTGTCGCCATTAGAGACATGGAAAACGACAGCGTTTTTGGAAGGCATTGAGATTTTCAAATGAAAATCACGGGCGTTTCTACTATCAAGACAAAACGAGACACTGACGTATGCTTAATCCGACGAAATGTTTTAAACGATATTAATATAACTCTAATCATCAGATTCAATGTTAATCTCTCACTTATTACAACAAGTTTTGTTAATATATACCGAGCAAGTGGCTTTTACGGTTTTACGTAAACACGCGCGTGCGTAAGTGAACCAAGAAGCTTGTTTCTTTGAGACAACGGCTCTTATCTCAATCAGACTCATGCGTTTTTAACTGTGTCAGTAGGTACGTAAAGTTTAATACTTTTTACCATCATCATGATGATCACCACCAATGGTACTAATTACTACAGTACATCTTCATGTCAGTAACTCATGATGAGATGACGCAAAACTAAATGAATGCCTTTTGATGTCATGTTTCCTTTCTCTTCTCTTCATCAGATTCTTACCCTTCTTTATTTTTGTAACACTGGCTCTTACCTTTTAACGCAAAATTATAAAATGCCACGATTAGCTTAATAACCACAACCGGTAATAAATCTAAATGCCTTTTCATGTCACGTTCCTTTGTCTCACTCTTCATTAGACGCTTACCTTTCAAGCCTTTTAACTCAAAATTAACAAAAGAGCTCAGTGAAGTAATATCCACAGTTAGCTAAAATCAACTCTTTTGGATTAATACAAGCATATAACAGCTCATACCCCAGTTCCTTCTTATGGTTTCTACATCCATAACTCTCAATAAAATCATTAGTACTATGCTAAAATGAATGAAGATTTACTTTCTTGGTTTTGATAACATTATAAAAATTTTACATGATCATATTCCCATCTTGGCATCGTGCTGAGTGCTGACAGCTGAAGAGAGGCCAAGAAAAATATTTGAAGATAAGAGACAATAAGAAATCATCTAGCTAACTCTTATTAAACCGGTTTGTACCACGACTTCTACCATATTCTTATGTATGTATTTCTTCTTTATCTATTTATCAACAAAAAACGTTGTATCCTGTTTCATGCAAAGCAAGCAAACATAAAAACATTGGAATCCCTACTTTTCTACTTGGACAGCAAGCTAGTATGAGAAGAGGAATCAAAGATGGGAGGACTACACGTGAAGTGTTGACAAACAAGAGCTACTGTTGTACTCTAACCAAAACCCAAAAAAGAACCTCATTTTAAGAATGAAGAATCCTCAGAATGAAGATTTGAAGTTAGGTTACTCTAAGAAAAAACTTCAAATTTATTTTAATTTTTTTATATTATCTACATTTTAGTCTTCAATTTTAATATAAACTAATTATAATCACTAAACTTTATATAGATAGATAATACTGCACATTTAAAAAAATTAAACACTATTGTTTTATATTACTTATTATTTTAACATATTTATATATTTTATGTATTATTTATACGTATATATAAGATATATTTGAATTCTTCAAATAAATCTTAAATAATAAAGTTGGGTTCTTATCTCTCCTTGGGGGGATTTAATACACGTGGCATTCTAGAGATTTGCTATTTTCGAATGCATTTGTTATTTTAGTGGGCTGGGCCTGTTTCTTTTTTACGTGTTGCTCAAGCCCTTTGCAAATTAGGGCTTCCATCATCATCCTTGCTCTGGCGATTGGCTTACAAATTAGGGCTTCCATCATCATCCTTGCTCTGGCGATTGGCTCTGATCATCACAACGTAAGGGTTCCATTATTTTACATTAAGAGGTTCTTTAATCCTACTTTTAACTTGATTACTCTCAAGCATTCAGTCAAGCTCTTCATCTCCCAAAGTAACCCACGGAAACTCCGACTACAAAATCTACAATCTCCCATCTATTGCCTTTGAAGATGTGAGTCTCAAAGGTGAGTAGAGAAGTGAAGATATTGAAAGCTTTGTCTGGTTATGATAACCTTCATCCATTCTATAATGCATTTGATGATCATGATAGTATCTATATAGTAATGGAGTAAATTTTCTTTTAGCTCAGAGTTTGTACCTATGTCTGCCTACGAGAGTATCTTTGAGAGTCTTTAACAAGTGGTTTGTTGTTTTAGTCTATGTGAGAAGAGCTTTTGGATATGATACTCTCAAGGTAAGGGGCCAGTAGACTTGAGACATAGGATTGTTTGTTCTATATTGAACTTGGTGGTGTGTTTTATTTGCAGAGGTGGGAAGTATACGGAGGAGGATACAAAAAT